ACCACGCGCTAGTCGTTTTAGGCACACATTTTAATAATCTTACCTTCTTAAGCCCGGGTGTGCATTTCATGTGACCCAAATCCAAATTCTAAAACATTGAATAAAAATGTGTTCCGGATTGCGAGTGCATTTCATGTAACGCAATCCAAAGATATGTTTTTGAACGATGTTCACATTCTTAAAAAAAAAAAAATTAATAATAATAAAAGCGGCTAAAAGTTAAAATTTGCACATAAGTTCATAATCGTATAAAAAACCCCCCCGATATTTAAGCTAAATATGACAGTGGAGCGACCGTGCTAGAACCACGGAACTTGGGAATGCCTAACACCTTCTCCCAGGTTAATAGAATTCCTTATCCGGATTTTTGGTTCGCGGACTGTTAACAAAGTCATTCTTTTCCTCGATTCGGGATTAAATCGGTGACTTGAGACATCATAAATCTCCCAAGTGGCGACTCTGCATTAAATAAATAAATCCCGTTTCGATTGTCCTTTAATTGAAAAAACTCCCCTCCGAGCCCCTTTGCGGCGGCGCGGATGAAAAAGGAGGTGTGACATATATTAAATATACTTTTAAAATAAATATAAGATTTGGGCAAAATTCGTCAAACCTATACCGTCAACTCAACTTCTGCCTTATGTTTTGTCATCCGAACCACTAAACTACATAATAATCTTATTTTGGACACGTTTTATACGACCCTACAAAAAAAAGTTTATTCAGAATCATCCAAGTTTGACCTTGAAAGCTCAGAAGTTTGTCAAAAAGCACAAAGATGGATCTCATCTCTTCTTCAGTTATGACCTTTAAAACTACATTTGTTTTCTTAATATGTAATTAAAATTTTGAAAATTGAGTTAAATAAAACGATAGACTATCCAAGTGGCACATTGTTTAGTAGTGCCAGAGACGAAATTTGAAGTTAATGGATTCGGAATTTGATTTATTCGGATTCTAAATTAATAATTTATATATATTTAATGAATTTTTAAAGATAATACAAAATTTGGATCAAAGCTACTTGTTTTAGCCGAAACCTGTCCGAAACTTTTAAAGACAAATACAATGTACATAAACATTCGTAAATTGGAAAGCATGGGCCAATTATTAAGAAAACAAAATACTCAAGCTTTCTTCTAGTAACATGTAAATTGAATTTTTTTATTGTATATGTTGAACTGATCATCCCTGATTATTTTTTATAAAAATAAGTTTGCCCAGTCAACATCTGGGCTATATTTGCATTATTGCATAAATCATCCCTGATTAAAGAACCCTCATTTCCCCTAAAGAAGAAGTTACCTTACTTAATGAGGATTTTGCTTAATGACCATGTTATTGCATAATTAATTTATTTTGCGCTTCTGTTCCACTTTTCTCGGATTTTTATTGCTAGAAATTCATGTCGAGCTTATTCCCTCTTTGTTTTTACTCTTTTAACTTAAAAGTCATTTTTAGTCAACAAATCTCACACGAGAAAACACAGAAAAGATGAGTTTTTCTGGCACATCCTTTTCTTCCCTTATTGTTTTTTAGTGTATCTTTTTCACTTACCAATACTCCGAAAAACTGGGTGAAAATATAAATACAAAAACACGTGAATGGAAAGTTTGTGTATTACATTAACAGCTTTACCCCGTCATCTTCAAGAAAGTAAAATGAGTGAAAAAAGAGATGCTATTTTCATACTCGTATATACAGGGGTGGAGCTAGCCTTCTGCTTACTGGTTCGACTGAACCCAAAATTTTTTGTGCAGACTCTACATTTATTTTGTGAAATTCATGGAATATGTACAAATTATTATTTTCAAACTCAGTAACTTAACAGAACTAGAATTCCAAACTCATAAGCTTCAAATCCTGACTCCGCCTCTACGTGTATATGGTCCTATAATGTGCTATTAGTCATAGTTTATGACTTATTCATGTGTGAACATGAGGGATTGTTGTTGCCACATGTGGAAAGTTGAGGAGACTAAAATAAAGAAAAAACCATTACCAGACAAATATAGATTAGAGAAAATTCTTTATTTTGACAGAGTAATTACGTGGAAATAACAACTGAGACGCACGTTGTTATTCAATCCTAAATCTAAATTTAGTGAGACCATTTGCAGAATTGCAGTTAAGTAATGTTCAGCAAGAATAAAGTAATAATTAATAGAGTTGCGCAGATCTAAAAAAATATATTATAATATTCATCAAAGAAATAATTACGTAAGAATCCACTGCGCAGATCTGAATTTATCATATTCATCAGGAGGAAAAAAGAGTGTATTATTTAAATAGGAATTGAATAAAAATATATAGGAACAGAAACAGCAATCTAAAACGAGATGGTTCCAGATCTGATAATACTCCTTTGGAACACTACTGTAATTGTCATTTTTTCTTCTATCTTTAAATTTATTCTTTCTTTATCCCATTTCCTTTTTTTTTCATTCATAAAAACAAGCACCATCTTTACATGTGTAGCTGCTGACGAATATTTATTTGAAAAATATGAACTCTCTTCCTCTTTCTTTTTTTCCTTCCTTCTGTTTTTGAGTGTTTTCCTTTTAATTGTTTAAGTGTTTTTGTAACAAACCTTTTCATATTTTAACAATTTTTCCCAACAGTATTAATATATTGATTAAAAGTCAGCTTTGCAGTGGAGCTGATCATCTTTTCATTCCAAAAATTAAAGTTGAATACATCCTCTTCTTGGTTTAACCAGAACCATAAGGGATAAGGAAAGAGTAAAGGAATTCATCCACTCCATTAATAGAAAAAATGGGGTCAACCAATCAGTTGTTAGTGTTTTAGGACCAAAAAAAGAAATTAAAAGAAAAATTGTTTATCAAATATCTAGAAAAATAAAGAAAAAAACTCTGAGGTTCTTTACCTAATCACTTAAGTGCAGAGGCATCCAGGATTTTGGCACTATTAAGAAGAGGTGGATCCAGAATATAAATTTTATGGGTTCAATCCTTAGTTCTTACGATTGCGTATCCATTGCACTTTTGGAATTATAAGTTCAAAATTATTATTTTTAAAAAATAGTAATTTTCTTACATCTATATCTATTTTTCATGTTGAAAATATTGAGATCAATTGAACCAATGGACTATATGCTACATCATACATTGCTACTAGTTTTAATATACACATTTGTTAATCATATAAGATTTTACGGCAACAAAAGAAGAATAGGAATTTCAATGTGTGAAAATTTTAAAAGAATAAACCAAACAAAAAAAAAAATATAGAGTACTTAATTAATACGCAAAAAATAATACCAGACACGCCCATCTCCCGTGGACGTCTACTTCTAGAAAAAAAAGGAAAAAACAATAAGATTGACATATATTTAAATATTTTAGAAAAAAATATAAGCATTAAGCCATTACTATTATTTAGGGCCGAAAGCATGGGTTCACGTGCCACACGGAACCCTAGATACGCCCATGCTTAAGTGTAGTAAGCAGCAGGCCGTTCATTGTATTATGCATTGTGTTGAATTCATCCCTTTGCTATTACATGAAAGTGATTTGGTCAACATATCTCACATCAAAAGGAAAAACAAACTTGATTTTCATTGTGCAAGATTCTTATACCCTAGCACTTATTCTAGGAGAAATTTAAATGTAACCGGAGGGAGTGTCATTTTCAAAGTAGAATGTTGCAACCCACCTAAATTTTGAAGAATAAATGTGAATAATGACACAACAAGTAAACCTCAAATTTCACCGCTCGACTCTTATGTCATGTGAAACCATTTGTAATCAGTAAGTAAGAGCAAGCCATTTCAAAAAGATAATAATTAATTCATAATCTGACGAGCAGATCCGCATAATCTGATTATCTGCACTTATAGTGCTTGTTAGAGAACAAAACACGTGTGGTTGGAAAGGAGAAACTTATTTTCTTTTAAATATCACTTCTTTTCGGAGGGGACGAGTCTTCAACGTCATTTACAATGTTGAAATTAAGAAAACGTCATTTTTAGATTTCTTATGTTTAAAAGATAAATCTATTATGTATAAAAACAAATCTTTCATATATATATAATATATATATATATAAAAGAAAAAAGATAGGATCGTAAAATTAAAAACATGTTTATAAGGATCCATAAAAACATTTTACCCGTAAAATTGACGCTTGACCTCGAAATAATCTACATTTACTTTCCTAGAAAAGCTCAACTTATGGCAAAAAATCTACATGAACCCCACTTATTAATTAGTTTTTCCCGAAACCAAAAGTGGCAAACAATTCCTCTGCATTCCCCAAAAAATCTTCTTAAAAAGAAAAAGAAAATTGCCTTCAACTAAAACAAAAGGGACATAACATAAATTTGAACAGAGGAAATAGTAAATTCAATGTAAACATATCACTATATCAGTTTCGAAATGGAAAAAGTAGCATAATACGACATAACAGAATAGGTCCTTTTGACCAAAGAGCTCCGTTGCAACCAATGTATAGTTAAAATGGAACTCACGCTTACAAGGAGAAAAAAATACTCACTCCGGTCCATAATAAATGATCACTTTACCTTTGACGCACCCATTAAGGAATTACGAACTCCTAGAGAGAGAAAATATATTCACTAAATTAACCTTAATTAATTGTTACTTTGTCACATTGAAATATGTAAACAAAGGCAAAATTTTGGAAAAATAAATTAATTCTTTCTTGATTATGTAAATTGACACTTATTTTGTTCCAAAATAAAAAAGTAAAATAGTAAGTTACCGTGGATGGGAGTGAATAGTAGTACGAATTATTAAATTATTTAAAAATTAATAAGTTGATAGCAAGTAAACCGTTACAATCAATTGATAGTATAAAATCCTACTATTACAGTGTTCCTCTATAATTATAGTGCATTTGTCTTTGCACACGTTTTAGTTAAGATGCATATATTGAAATCAAGGTCTTCTCCCTTGTGTTTTATTCTCCCACCTAACATAACATAAAAAAATCACAAGTGCACTTGTGGGGCGCGCAGAGGGTGGCTAGTCAGCAAAAGACTCTTCAACTTGTTTTCCACAAAGTACTTTTCAGGTCAATCTTTCTCAGCTCTAATATTATTCCTACTTAGCCAACCAATCCCCCAGTGATCAGAAGTTTCTTCTTTCTTTTTGTTTTCTATTCCCCTTTTATCCTCTTTTGTTTAACCACCATTTCTTCATCCTCTTCTTCTTATTCAGAATTCATTCAAGTTCTCCATTCTTGAATTTGGTATCACATTTGCAAATGCTTGAATGGCTGCTAGCTTTAGAGTTTCCGTTTGGTTCGTCGTCTTTTTCCTTCTTTCTTGTTTATCCTTATTCTGTTCAGCAGATGATAGAATTACAATAGGAGAGATTCTAAAAGATGGTGATAACATCACTTCTAAAGAAGGGAATTTTGTGTTGGGGTTCTTTAGTCCTACAGGTTCTAGTAAAAGGTATCTTGGTATATGGTACGCTCATGTAACAGTACAGACAGTTGTTTGGGTTGCCAATAGGCACAAGCCTGTCCCCGATAAAAATGGTACTTTTTCAATTGACCAAATTGGGAATTTGGTTGTTAAAAATGGACATGGAGATTCACTGTGGTTGAGTAATGTTACAGTCGCGACCAAAAACTCTACCGCTTGTCTCTTGGACAATGGCAATCTTGTCATCCTTAACAATGACAAGAATGCTGCGAGGTTAAATACGGAATTGTGGCAAAGCTTCTTGCATCCTACAGACACCTTTTTACCTGGGATGAGAGTTTTTGTGGAAAGACAAAGTAAAGAGCATAAAGTTTTCAGTAGTTGGACAAATGAGAGTGATCCTTCACCTGGAAGGTACTCATTGGGGGTTGATCCTCGTGGAGCACCTCAAATTGTTATCTGGGATGGATCGGATAGACGCTGGAGAAGCGGACATTTTGATGGAGTGGAATTCACTGGTGTTCCTAATGTGACTAGATCTACATTATTTTCTGGTTTCAAAATTAACAACGAGGATGGTAAGTCGTTCTTCACTTACACTGCTTCGGACACATCTTTGTTTGTGAGGTTCCAGATTGATGTGACTGGAATTGAGCTGCAACAGAGGTGGGACGAAGACAAGGAGCAATGGAGCACGTTACAATCTATGCCATCGGGTGTTTGTGACCTGTATAACTTTTGTGGGAATTTCGCGGAATGTCATGAACAAGTATGCCTTTGTGTAGAAGGATTTGTACCACGTGTTGAGGAGCAATGGCATGCTGGGAACCGGACAGGAGGATGTATTAGGAGGACAGAATTGGAATGCAGGAAAAGTAGCAGTGTTCCGAGGAATGATAATGCAAAAGATGATGGATTCTTGGCTGTTCACAAAGTTAAATTGCCTGATTATGCAGATATTATTGCAGATGCACAAAACACAGACACGTGCAGAACCAAGTGCCTGAACAATTGTTCCTGTAATGCTTATGCTTTTGTCAAAGGAATCAATTGCATGATATGGACTGAAGATTTAGTTGATATAGAGCAGTTTGAGGAAGGTGGGAACACTCTGTATGTTCGCCTTGATCCTTCTGAATTTGGTAAGCACATTATTTTCTGCTGAATCTTTTATTTGTGCAATTATACAAATTTAAATCCAAAGTAATTGTTCTTTTGTACAAAGACTCATTTCTTGTTTGTTTTCGTTAGTAGCAAGATCAACATTTTAAGCAGATACTTCTTTTCCTTCCTCGAGTTTGAGAGTTTGAAGAACGATTAGCCTTTCTAATTTCTTGATTTTCTCCTTTGACTATCTCTTGAAACAGGTAAGAATAACAGGACGATCATAATTATTATAGTATCAGTTCTAGTAGCTCTAGCTTTGGTTGTTATGGCAGCTGTTTGGCTAGTATGTAGATACAGGGCCAGAAAACGAGGTAAATTTTGATGCAGCAATCTTTCTGACTTGGCTAGCTGCATTTGATATGTGTTCCATGTTGTACTTATAACTTCGACTTCTAATTTTCAGAATCCAAGAGGATCAATGAAATTCCCAAAAACCATCTAGTTAGGAGCGGAGAGTTCTCCGCTGACTTATCTGGACCGGGCGACCTCAATGCTGAAGGGCATCAAGGAAATGGTTCAGAATTAGCATTTTTCAGCTTCAGCATGGTGGCCACAGCTACTGACGACTTTTGTCTTGCAAACAAGCTTGGGCAAGGGGGTTTTGGCCCCGTTTACAAGGTAAATTTTCAATCTTGATGGATTATTCTGTGTCAATTAGGACGTATATGGCCTTGTTTTAGACTAAAGATAAGTTATTTTTCCTCTCCTTAGGGAAGGTTACCTTGTGGTCAAGAAGTTGCTGTAAAGAGGCTTTCACAAAGGTCTGGACAAGGGGATGAGGAGTTCAAGAATGAGATCACTCTGATAGCAAAATTACAACACAGAAATCTTGTTAGGCTTTTGGGTTGCTGCATAGAAGGAGAAGAAAAAATTCTGCTTTATGAGTACATGCCCAACAAAAGCTTAGATACATTTTTATTTGGTAAGTTCCTGAAATTCTATCAAAAAAATTGCTTATGCTTCCTTATATTTTCTATAGCAACACATCTCATTGAGACAGATCACTAACAATTGTAATGGCTGTTAAACTTTGGCAGATCCTGCTAGGAAATCCCAGTTAGACTGGAGAAAACGCTTCAGCATTATCGAAGGGATTGCCCGAGGGCTACTATATCTCCATAGAGATTCAAGACTTAGGATAATCCATAGGGATCTAAAGGCTAGTAACATTTTGTTGGATGAAGAGATGAACCCAAAAATTTCAGACTTTGGCATGGCCAGAATATTTGGAGGAAACCAAAATGAAGCAAATACAAACAGAGTTGTAGGCACATAGTAAGTATCATTTTATTTTAGGTCTTTTTAAGAGACTCTAATTTCCATTTTCTTGTTCCTGGAGCTAAATCCATTTCATCTCATACCTTGTTGCTAAACACAGTGGATATATGGCTCCTGAGTATGCAATGGAAGGCCTGTTCTCTGGCAAGTCTGATGTCTACAGCTTCGGAATACTATTGCTTGAGATTATATCTGGGCGAAGAAATACAAGCTTTCGGTCGGATGAGCATTCAGGCATTATTGGATATGTAAGTCTGAATAATTTTCTCCACTATTTCAATATTTTTAGTCCAGAACATGCTGTCCGAATAATGGGGCTAATTTTCTTGTGTAATTGAGCAATGACAGAGTGGTCATCTTTCTCATATTTTTCTGGTGGAAAATATTTCAGGCATGGGAGAAGTGGGACGAAGGTAGACCAATGGACCTAGTGGATCGTTCAATATGGGATGGATGTCAGCATGATGAAGCATTGAGATGTATACACTTGGCAATGCTTTGTGTTCAGGACTTGGCTGTTCACAGGCCAAACATGTCTTCTGTAGTTTTGATGTTGGAAACTGACAATATGAGATTGCCCTTGCCTAGGCAACCTACTTATACCTCAATGAGAAGATCTGTTGATGCAGATATGTGGCATGGGAATCAGGATTTGCCATCCTCAAACAATGTCACAATCAGTGTACTAATAGGTAGATGATTGTTTAATGCTTGATCTTTCTTACATATCTGCTTCATTTGAAGAGAATAGGATCAAGTAATGTAACTTTTTTCAAGTTATACTTGGAAATATGTTCATAATTTTGTGTTGGCTAGGTATACTTTATTAGACCATGTGTACAGTAGATGGTTCAGCACTTTAAGAGAGATAGATATGTTCAATCACTATATATGAAGTTCTTGAATTTTGAATATGCTCCCCAGTTACTCTTTTTTCTCCCCCTCCCCCAACCCCCAACTGCGGAAAGAGATTAGCGGTAATTCCTTACCCTATCCCCTCATGAATCGAACTCACAACCTACTGTTAGAGGTGGAGGTGCTCTATAATTGAGCAAGTCTCAGTTTTCCTACCAAGTTGCTCAGAATGAAGTATTTCCATCAGTCTACAAACAAATATCCTTTATACTCCTATTTAAGAAGCAGAATTACATGCTTTCTTCTACTATCATTTGTCTAGAGCAACCACGGATCGTGTGTTTAACTTCCTTAATCATTTAACTTTACGTGTATTGCAGAATTGTTTTCATTCTGAAACAGATTTTGGCCAGTTCTTTCTTTTCAAGAAACCATTTTTTTTTTCTGATGCCTGAGAAGCAATATTAATCCTTGTTAGAAAAGCAATAGTTATTACCAGATTCTGCAGGAATGGAACTCTACGTAGGGAGATAGGCTTCTGCTCCATTTGAAGCAGAAGGGGAAATGGAATTTATTTATTTGATTAATTATTGTTAATTTTGTGGTGGTTGTGGATCATTAGTTGTTTTATGAAACTCAAACATGGAAGAAATCTTCAACTCTAGGGGTGTTCATAAACTTATTTCGGGAATAACCTATTTTACCTTATAACTTTCTTATAGAGCTATGCAAAGGTGAACATTGCCAAATTCAAACTTCACCATCAAATTAAATATGGAGATGGGGAATCAAGGTAGCTCAAACCTTCACCGTGTAGGTCGGAGTTTGATTCCTCATCTTGTAATCCACTTCCCCATATCCCAAAGAAAAGGAAAATAATATGGAAATGTAGATTTTAGATATTCTAAATTAGTAATGGATTGTAGATTCTAAATTAAGTATACTGGTGATCTTCCCAGCCTCTCACTTGTAGATTCCAAACAACTTATGCTCCTTGAACAATAAATAAGCACTAACAGTAGCCTTTTTAATGATACATCAAACAAAAAGATATTGTTAAACTATAGAATTCTGATGATATAAATTTTTATCACCACCTCTGAGGAAAAGAAATTAATTGGAGGACATACCTGAGAAACACAGGAGCTTTTGTCGAAAGGGATTAAAAAGCCTAAATAGTTGAAATCCTGGAGCAGCTGTGATTGCTATTAGGTTGGCTAAAGATGAACAAGAAATAACAGAAAATAGCATGTCCAAAATGGGAGACATGCATCTTTCTGTTTTTGATGTTCAGATATGTGCTGCAAATGGTATCTTACGCAAAGCATGGCGAAGAGGCTCAACTGCTTCAAATAATGTGGCGGCCAAGGCTTCTGCACTTCTGCTTTGTTCAAAACAGTGTGAGCACGTGATTTTTGTTTCGCGCGACAATCGCTCCAAAATAAATAAAAAATAATAACAATTGGTCCTGCTGTACAATTTTTGGATTTTTACATGGCACTTTGT